CCCACCCCCCTTCTAAGGCCCCTCTCATTCTCTGTCTGTCTCCCTCTCTCCCTCTCACTCTCACTCTTTTCCCCTGGCCTTATCCTTGCGGTCGGCCCATTTCGCGGTTTCCCGTGCTTGCGGATACAGTGGCGAGGGCTGCGGCGAGAGAGAGAGAGAGAGAGAGAGAGAGAGAGAGAGAGAGAGGCAGAGAGAGAGAGAGAGAGGATGGACCAAACTAGGAATTGGTTTGTTTCAGAACCGCGCGAAGTGGAATTTAAACAATGTGGCTCTTTTCTACTCACGATTTGCTTTCTTATTAACTCTTAAATAAAGATTATTGTCTTTTGAACATGGTCAGAAAAGGCGTCCGTCCCGTATGTTGCAGGAAGGAGTTTATTGGTGCCTTTTGTGTACATTGAGTGCGTGTGTGTATGTGCTTGCGCGTTGAGCTGTGTGTGTAAGAGAGAGAGAGAGAGAGAGAGAGAGAGACGAGCCAGGCCGGGTTTATTCCGCGTGATTTAACCTTTTCAAATGCCACGGGCCGCCCGCTCCTCCCTGCCGCCTGCCGGGTGCCGGGTGCCGCGGGGTGGCCCCGCGTGGTGCCCGGAGTGATGACTCTGTTACCAGAGAGAGAGAGAGAGAATAAGAGAGCGACAAACCGTTTGTTTTATGTTTGCTGCTTTATTCGATTGTCGGGGACGCGACAGGACGGACGCGCAGTGGCGGTGGTGGCGCGACGGAGAGAGAGAGAGAGAGAAATGTTGCCCGAGGCGTTTCCATCTGCTGTCCGTGTGGTGCTGCCCCCCGGCCCCGGCCCGGTGTAGCCCGGCGCGAGGCCGAGCAGCGCGCCGCTGTCGTGCCCGCGCGTCTACGTCTCCAACCCCCGCGTCGATGGTTATGCCGTTTCCTCTGCTTTTGCCTTGCTTGGAAATACCAAAGACGTCCCCATGCATTATTACCATGAGACGTCTTGGTTTTTCCAAAACTACTGCTTTGAAAACTTGGACGTCGTTTTTACCGTGCTCGATCACGGACGTGTCGTGTCCAGCACTAGCTGGGACGCAGGGGATGGTCTACTCGCGGACTGACGTCCTACCGTCCTACCTAAATTACCAGTTAGTCAAGTTCATGTGAACTGACGTCTTAACCCTCGTTGAAGCTGAAGCGTTGTCATATTTAAGAAAGCGCATTAAGGGGGCAAATGGCCGAGAAATAACACTCTCATTAAACGTATGCAGTACGGTGTTTTTCTCCGACCGCGACTCTCGTGAACTTTGCTGTGGACTCGAGTGCGGCCTACGTTATCGAAGTTTATTTCGATCAGAGACCTGCCGCAGTGCCAGACAACACATACATTTCCTGCGAATGAGCTGGTTTTTTTTTTTAAACCTTTTGAACCGAAACAAACAAACCACTAAACGAAGGACGCAATTTGCTTTCCCCGTATACCTTTTGATGCTGCAGTATGTGACACTGTT